AAAACATGCGGTCATTGCACTTAACAGAAAAACACAACAACGTTGCTTCTCACTTTGGACTTTTCAACAGACAAAAGCAGAAGACTGATTAAAGGTATGCTGATTATTCAAAAGTTCTATATCTCTGGCCATTCCTAAAATTAATCTCACCTATGGTACCCTTCTATTGCTTTTTTTAAGTAAAAAGTATGGTATAATTCATTCAAAAGCACCACGGGGTATCAATTTATGTATAAAAATATTTATATGTCAATCAAAATATCATTAATGTTCCCAAAATCCTCCACTGAATAAAGAATATAACCTATTATCAACAAAAAACCAATGGTTTGAAACCATCTATCTCTAAACTTTATCAAAGTTATCTTCCGCCATTGAAAGCTCTCATGTTTCTCTCTTTCCATACCATCCAAAAGATAGCAAGGGAAATGGGACTAATATGTTTCTCCTCTCTGCTGATCCTTTCCACGCCGAAATCTCTTCCTTCATTGAACTAGCCATCACCCAATTGATGTCCAGTAACTCATAAGCCAAAGTCCATAATTTATACATAAGTGGGCACCAACAAAGATGTGATTACACAACTCTGCCTCCCTTTTACAATAAAAAAACATTCATTCATCAATGTTGTCCCCCTCCTAATCAGCTTGTCAATAGTAAGGATAAACTCCCAACCTGTTTCCCATGCAAAGAAGGCAACTTTGAGTGGAGTGTTAAACTTCCATATTTGTCAAAAAGGAAAATTGTTGTTTATGCCATCATTTCTAATCATATGATTATAAAAAGACCTGACCAAGAAAGACCCTCTAGCATTGAGTCTCTAGATTGTTTGATTGTTGCTTCTGTCGATTGTAGTGGTAGAAAATGTTTGGAGGAGAGTCTTGTAGTAAAAAACCCATTAACTTACATTGCATGCCAAAAGCATTCACTTCCCAATCTTCATCACATGCCAAAATTTTTGTAAAAAACACATATTGAAACCATTAAATCCAGGGGCTTTATTCTTCTTACATTGCATGATTCCCTTATTTCCTCCTCAGTAAACTCTCTCTAAAGCAATTCACATCTCCACTCATCCAAAGACAAAAGAGTCAACCCATCCAACATAGATCTCCAGCTAATCTCCTCACGATATAACCTGCAAAAGAATTTCATGAACCCTATCCTCAACTGCTCATTACCTTTCACTAACCTGCCATCAATCTCAATCTCCTCCACATAATTAATTCTACTGTAATAATTTGTCATGCAGTGGAAGAATTTTGTATTTCAATCACTCTCTTTTATACATCTGGTCCTCAATTTTTGTCTCCCTAATATCTCCATTTGTAATCTGTTTCAATTCCAACTTTATGGATTCCTTGCGAGCCAAGTCTTCAGTGGACAAAACCCCCTTCCCCCTCTAACTTATCTAGTGCCTCAAGATCTTGTAATAGAGATAGAATGATCGTACTCGCGCCCCCCACCCCCTTCTCTTTGCACCACTTCTTAATTTTGACTTTCACCACCATAAACTCCTTAGCCACTCCAAAGCTAGCATTACTATCTACCCTTATCCCGTTCCATGACTCACTGATCTTATCACATAAATCATTGACTCTTAACCATTTGTTCTAAACCTGAAGGGACAAGGGACAAGTACCTCATTTAATCCCATCAAAAGCTAGTCAAATCAGGAAGTGATCAGAGATTGTGCGTTGCAAGAGTTTTTGACACAAACCCAATAGTTGAAATTGACAGAAAACAGACACCAAAAACCTATCAATTCTAGAACAAGTCAGGTTTAATTTCTGATTAGAACATATCCATTTACCTCCTATGAGGGGAAAGTCCAGTAATTCTAACATGTCTAAAGTCCCCTGAAACTCATCAACCCAACCATCAAAAAATATTCTCTCGATTTTCTCGTCTACTCAAAACTATATTGAAATTCTCACCTACAATCCAAAGGAGGTTCTATTTATGCTTATGATCGCCCAAATCCTTCTATAATAAATCTCTCTTTCCCTCACCTCTATTGTATACACCAGCGAACACTTTGACAACTACTACATTTTATTATTTAATTATTTTATTTTATTATTTAATATTATATAATTAGAACTTTATAAGAATAATAATCTCATATAATTAAAATTCTACTAAAATAAAAATTTCTCTATCAATAAGTTGAAAATTTTATAAATACCTTAAATGTAACAACATAAAATGTAATAAATAAAATTATTACTTTTTTCTTCAAAATCAACATGATATCAAAGCCAAATAAACCTATTTTAGGGTTCTAATTTCAAGGTTTCCTTAAAATCCTAAAATAACACAATAAATTAAGTTGATACCCACATATCCAGATCTACACACATTACCACCCTAGAAAGCCTCCTCCCGACTCAGGTTTTGGGATAAAACCAGCTTAGAAAAAGAGACAATCTGATCTAATCAAGCCTCACCACAGATCCAATCAGAGAGAGAGGAGGCAACAACAGGCGGCATATCAGACTAGATCCGCGCGCGAGTGGCGACCAACCTGCAAGCCAAAGCGCATGAGTGGCCTATCCGGGCAGATCTGGGTCGGTGAATCGCTCGTGCGTGTCGATTGGCAGTGGCAATTTGAAAACTACGTCGCAGTTGTCCCTGATCTGCGTGAAGAGAGGACCGAAGACCAGAAATTGAAGACGGTTCTGAAAATCCATCCTTGTTTGCGTCCGAAACCAAAAAGTCGGAGAGAGAATGCGCGGTGGAGCTCGTCGGAGAAGAAGAAGACACACAGCAGCCCGTTTTGCAAAAACATTTTCCGGTGTCCGTCAACACGATCTCACCAAATTCGTGTCAGATCTAAAACTGCAAACGTTTTATGTGGTGATTGTCGGTGAAATCATGGCAACATGTGGTGGCCGGCAGCGGCGTGTGGCAGTTCCAACAGAGGCGCATGGCGGCACGTGAGAGCTTATGTGGTATTCCGGTGGAGCTCGAACCGTTTTAGAGCCAAGTCTGAGCCGTTTTAGAGCAGAACCCGAATCATTTTGAATTGGGCCAAACCGTTTTGAGCTGGACCGAGCCGCTTTAAGCCGAGTCAAGTGCGCGTATGCCTCTGGTAGATTGCACGATGGCTCTTCAAAACTTAATCTACAAGTTGGGTATATGTGATATTCCTGCACCAACTTGGGAGGCGTTGACTACCATATTTTATTATTTAATTATTTTAATTTATCATTTGGTATTATATAAGTAAAACTCTATAAAAATAATAATCTCATATAATTAGAATTCTAGTAGAATAAGAATTTCCCTATCAGTAGATTAGGAACTCTATAAATACTTTAAATGTAATAACATAAATGGTGAAAAGTAAAATTATTATTTTTTCTCCAAAATCAACACATCTACCTCCACTCATTACTACGATCTTCAAATACGCATGAGATAAAGTATTTCCCGACAACACCTCACAATTAAGCTATCATTCCATAAAACTAGAATCCCACCAGAAGCCTCCTTAACTGGTAGTTATTTCCAACCAATCTCCTTAGTCTTCCAACGGCCACGAACAATACTAATCGAAACGGATTCCATTTTAGTTTTTGAAGGCAGATTACCTCATATTTCCATCCATTCATATAACTCCTAATCACTTGTCTTTTCTAACGATCATTGATTCCCCTAAAACCCCTCTCCCTACTTTTCCCACCTCCGCAAGCTGTCATAATTGATAGAGGACTGCAACCTCCTCAACTCCCTAGAACCCTCCACCCCTTGTTTGTTTTTGCTTTAGGCTTTATCTGTTCCCTTCTCACCTTCTCCTTCTTTCATTTTTTATCTCTTTGAAAAGTATCATAGCTTGTTCCTCTAATCCGTCAAAACCAATCCTAAACACACTGCTAGTTTGTTGAATGTTCTAAAGTACTCATCTAAAATTTTCTTCCTCAATCAACTCTCTATCTTCCCCCCATCTCATCCTCCACCGTCACCTCATCCCTCGACACATAGCCCTTTCGTCCTACCCAAGCACCTTTTCAAACTCGTGCCACACCACCAGAACCATTGCCATTGGCCAAATAATCCCCTTTCTTCTTTCTTGGCCATAATGCTCTCTAACATATTAGCTTCAGCTTCTGTTGGTGGCTCCTTGCTCGATCATTCTTTCTCCTAAGATCCACTAGACTCCCCCTCTCCAATGTTATCCTTTCCATCGTTAGAATCTACCTCCAAGCCTGTTGTCGGAACCACACTGCAATTCTCCCGATCTCCCTTGAAGCACTTCTTGGATTTTCACTTTTTGTCACTACTCACAAATCTTCATGCATGAGTGGACCCGAATCTAAAGCTTTTAATCTAACTTCCCAGCTCGACCACCCACTTCCCTTTCTTGATCCATGTAAAACGTTTAACAAATCCGACCTGTTTCTTGACCTTGAACTCTCCAAACTGATGCTCGTTCGAACTCCTCAAAATGACCCTTATCCCCACATTGACGAAATGGTTGAATTTTAAATATTGAACATGACCCGGCCAAACTGAAATTGGTCTCATTTTCCCTACCTAGCTCCCTGTCACGCGCCTTTCTTCATCACGCTAGCAAAGTTCCTCTCTCTTCTCACCTCTAGACTCACCCTTCAACTTTATTTTGCAACTTCGACAGCACAACAAAACCGGCGTATTATCGTGAACTGCCTTCGGGCTATGTATTTTCTTCCAGTTTCTCATTTTGACCTGTTTTAGTTTCCCCAACGCCTTGAATGTCCACCTCACCATTTCGAACAACACCAGCATCATCCAGCCTATGGACCTTTTGGAATAAATATGTCTCACCTCTTTCCCTTTCTCCTATGTGACAGCCAGAAATTTTCTCTGCATGTTACCTCCCATGGGCACCAATAGATTGAGACCATTACTTGCCTTATGTCGGCACCAAAGCTTTCCTCCTCTTATCTGGTAGAACTCCTGCAAAGCTCCCAGCAACCATTCAACTTCATCCTCCCAAAAGTTGATCGAAACCCTAAATCCCCTCCCATTTCTACTCACCCTAATTTCTTCTGCTTTCTTCCCACAGACAACGTCGAATATTTGCTCTCAATAACCAAAATTTCTTGATATGAGGCAACAACATGACCACCTCCGTGAGGGAGGCGATGTTGGCCGTGCAGGTGTGCTCAACTTATGTTCGTTTTGTTTCTTTCATCTAAAAGATTTCTCTCGCCTATTCTCACAACGTTGAGTCAGTTGTATCTCAGGATTTCATTTTCGTCTTCTTCCTTTCTGCTTTTCTAATCTCCATTTTCTCTTTTTGTTTCTTTTATCCGTTCTCTCTCAATTTTTCTAATCCAACACCAGAAACCCCTCTTCCATGTTCCGTTTCTCCTCCTTCCCCTATTCTCTATTTCCCTCACAAAGGAACCCCAAAATTGTAAAACGTGTTGACGGCACCCAAATTTCAGCCGGAAACAATCGCCTACACTCCATGGTCGCCTTGGAAAGGTTCTTCGAAAAAGGTCCTTTGACGTCTCTAGGGTCAAATCCGTCATTGAGTCGCCACAATTTGTAGCAGTCACGAGTCTCCATGGAAGCAACTCAAACCAGCATCCTAGCTGCTTCAGAGCCACTGAGAACAAAAGAGGTGCAAGTAGATGAAGAGACGAGTAGTCGAGAAGCAACTATGATATGACTAGATGCACAAAAGGTGATACGACTCAAAGCATGACAATGTTTCTTAAAGAATGCCATGTAAACTTGTTAGTCCATCATTGTACCCAAGTACATTGGATATGAGTATGGCTTGACGAGCATTATGAATATGATGCTGAAAATGAGAAACTTCTGCAGTTGCCCTATTGTATTAAAAACTGCAGATTTACGACAAAACTGCTAGTTCATCATTGTACCCAGGTACTTTGCAAGTTACCCTTCTATTGTACTAAGGGAGGAGTATCTAAAAACTGTAGATTTATGACAAAATTTGCAAATAACTTCATCCAGTATTGTGGGCATAACATGAAATCAGAATATTGTATAGCATTCAATCCTAATAAAAACTTCTGAGAATTTATTTCAATCAAAAAATTGACCTTAGATTTTGGAGGATGTCTCACCCCATCTAACTAGAAAACACAATTTGAAAATTTGCCAAATAGCCCCACCAGGTGATTATCATTTACTTTGACAGAAATAAGCTACCAATAGTTTAAAAATTATAGAGATGGGCCAACATAAAATATAAAAGCATCGATAATTTGTCTTCAATTATTGCATATGCTTGAAGTATTTTATTGATATAGGGCCTATAGTTACAAATTGAAGAATTGAAATGCCCTAAAAATCGTTGTGTAAAGCACCAATAATTATCGCAAGAAGATTGAGAGTTTGGGAAAAGAGGAGAATTCTCTGTTATTATTATTGGGCATAAAGATGTCAATTTATAGGCATTCGGGCAGAACAAACAAAAAAGGTTATGGAAAATATTCTAACAGCCTAACGGGTGCAATTGTAGTGAGCATTTCCCAGCTGTCATAACAACCTAGTAAAATACTAATTTACCCCCTAATGTATTTATATTTCTACATATATACATTTCTATCCTCTCAATTTAGAATAGATAAATGTTAAGTAATCCTACATTAGATACAAAATTATTAAATTCTCTTTTTGGCAGT